TTTTTTTTTTGGTATGCCAGTTTGACAATTTTTTCCGGGGTCCAGACAGTACGGCACCAAAACCATATCCGTAGAGGAAGAAAAAAAATCAATTTGCGCCAGCCAACGACTTGGATTGTGGTGTGTCTAACATCTTATCGGACGCTTGCTTTTTTTGCATTTTGCAATTATCTTCCCACGTTTTCTCACATTTCACTTGTGAATATCCCCCCATCTCTTGACAGTTGGAAGTCTACCCGTGCCTAGGTTGGATCAAGAAGTTTGCCCCCGCCATTCAATCCCATCCGGCGAGTGAGCGCTCATCCTGCTTTCCGTCTCCCGGGTTCCAGCAGATCGGTATACAAGAATCCGGTAGTGGCTTCACCGCTTCCTGTCACTCTCTACTGTCAGGTATCGATTGGGAGAGAAAGCAGACAGCAGATAGCAGACAACGGAGGACTGACATCTTTTAACTCAAAACCCGTTTGTTGCTGCGTTCTTCCGTCTCGCAGACCCGTCTGCCATATTTGTTCGTTTTCTTCCACCTTTTACATAAAAATCATCTTATTGACCCTTATTCGTAAGGTGCGGGAAAGGGAAAGAAGCTGTCCTTCCAATCCTTTTCTTGACAAAATCTCTCCGGCACCCACCGTTTATTTGACTTACCTCGTCTCAACCTCAGACATATTCGTACTACGCCCTCTCATCCAAGACCCCATCCACCAACCAACCTCCATCCTGAATCCTGGTCTGGTCGAATCCCGATCCTACCCCATTGTTCATCGTCTTGCCTGGCGTTGCATTGCCCTCGTAGCCTCTACTCGCTCTCGAGACGCACCACCAGAGGCTTTTTTGGCACTACTTCACCTTCAACCCGTTGGTCATACCTCACCTTTTCAGCCCTCAGGTACTACCTCCCTTTACTTAATTACTCTTGTCTTTTCTTTTGGCCTGAACCGAACATCTTGAACGTCGTCTCCAGCCCCCAAGCTCCAGCCCTGTCCAGCTATCAACCTTATCAATCCCATCGCCGATCGACGAGACTTGAGCTGCGCTAAGGTAGTCTCAGTGCTTGTCTCTCTTGTCTTGGGCTGCATCCTACCTTATTTTGCTTTCCCATTCTTACACTTTTGTTACTTATCCACCTGCCTTGGCTTTTTTTGCCATTCACAGCTCTTGAGTTTCTCATTGCAGCTCACGCAAAGCTCTAGATGTGAAGAAAGGGCTTAGCCACAAAGATTCTTTTCCCCATATCATCAAACCAGCCTATCTACCTACGCAATTCTCATACATTGCACACACACGAGCCTGGTCGATAGGTCACCTCACCTCTCCTCTCATAAATCGCTTTCCAGAAGAGACGTAACCTGCTACGTACTGGCTAGGCGCATTTCTTGCTACAACAATACCTGCAGCAGAGCATACTGTCTGCCTGATCCGGCTGGGCCATCGCACCAAAGCATCACAAGCACAAGAGGCAGGCACAGTACTTTCACCTTTTTTTTTGACTACGTCCCCAAGTACCAAGCACCAAGCACTACAGTCATCCACACATCCACGTCCCGTCCAAGCACAACACTCACACACACGCACTCACTCACTCACTCGCTCGCTCTCTCACTCACCCACCTACCGTACCTGCACCTGCACCTCCTGGCGCCAATAGAGAGTGCAGCAGTTGAGACTACCGCCGCGACTTCTTGCCTTTTCCCTTTGGCACACAAGGACTGCAGCGTCCGCCTCACCTTTCTCACTCTTCTTCCTGCTTGGGCTCTCTCAATTTTTATTTTGTTCGCTGAATCTGACTGGTGGCAGAAAAAACAAGCAGCTCTCACTTCGCCTGAGTGAAGGAGGGAAAAAAAGAAAAAGATGCCCACCACCACTCATACCACGACCACCCGGTCGCCTTTTGACACCAACAACCTGGGCATCAACACCAACAATTCGGCCCCTGTTCTGCCACCTTACCTTCGCACCAGTAGCCAGTCTCCGTTGCATTCTTTTCCTTTCTCGCCGAGCAGCACCTTGCCTTCGGCCATCGGAACAGGCATTAAGAAAGAAAAATCATCTACCAAAATGGCCTTGGATAATTCAGAGATCATGGACTTTGTCACTCGGTATCAGAACTTGCAGGGCTACCAGAACGCCAGCGACCAGCTGATGAAGGTGTGTTTGCGCTTTCCACTTGTCCCATGGTTTGCCTGCCATTGCCTGACCACCCCTCCCTCTCCGTTGTTTTTTCAACGTCCTTTCCACGGCTCGTCTGCGCATGCAGAGAGACCAAAGCTTCCTATCCCTTGCTCGGTACGGTCCCGCAACAAAGCCACCCCCAGATTGAGCTTGAGCTCGAGCTTGAGCTTTTGGAGGGAGGTCGTCAACTTTTGCTACCGCGTCTAGCTTCGGCGCCTGTTTGGCGTTGGCGCTGCAGCTATCATCTTTGACGCGCTTCGGCTGCTGATCCCCTACTTCCCTCATCGCCACCTTTCCAAGCCCACACTCAATCCACCTGCACGAGAAGCGACGAACTGCTGTTCCCGTCCATCCCAACATGGGACCGCCCCTCTGAACAAGGTTATGAACCTTGACCAAAGTTACACTCCGCTAACCTCGTTTGATTTTCCAACTACAGGACCTTTTAATATACTGCAAAGAAATTCAGGGCCAATATGCCGATGAAAATCAGATGCTGAAGCAGGAGCTGCGCAATGCAAAGCTTGACCTCGAACATGCTACCACTTCCAGAAGAGAAATGCAGCAGGTGCTGCAAGAGCTTGATTATGATAACAGCTACATGAAGGTAGACAGCGGCGCCGCCTGCTGCCCAGCAGCTTCTCCCCCACCCTTTATCTTCAAAGTGACTAAACCTCGCAGAATCGCAATCCCTACGTCTTGATTCTAATTGATGGAGACGGACTTCTTGTACGTGGCCCCGACTACTACCTCGGTTTTTCGATATAATGCTAATCGCGGGGCCCCTCAATAGTTCCAAGAATCATTTATCAGACAAGGCATCGAGGGCGGCAAGCAAGCCGCCTATGCCCTCCGAACTGCCGTTGCCGAGTACGTTGGCAGCCAGTCGGGTGAGGTTGAAATCGTCGCCAAAGTTTGCGCCAATCTATCCGGTCTTGGACGTGCTATGCGCAGAGATGGCTGCCTCGACAGCGAGTCCGAGCTTAAGGAGTTTTCTCTGGGCTTCACACAGGCCAAAGCTTCGTTTGATTTCATCGACGTCGGTCACGGTAAGGAACGTGCTGACTCGAAGATCAAAGGTGCGTTATACTCGAGACTGGGCGGCGATGTTATAGTAGTGACAAATGGGCTAACATTGTCATAGAGGCCACCCGTTGGCATTTGCGAAACTACAACTGCAGACAGATTTTGCTAGGCATTTCCCACGATGCGGGTTATGCACCTTTTCTCGATGAGATCCTTCAAGATAAAGATACTCGCTCGAGAGTCAGTCTAATTGAGGGCGTCGCTACGGTCAGAGAGCTGAAAAGCACCAACGTTCATATCCTCGACCCGCTGCCCAGCCTTTTCCGAAACCAAAAGCTCATTGATAGAAGTGGCGACCGCGCTGCTGAACGCGCCGAGGCATATGCCAGGTGTTCGGCACAGGCACCAGCTTCGGTGCCTTTCTTTCCGGCTCCATCTAGAGCGTCGACATCTTCGCCTGTGATGGTGGCCTCGCCAATCTCGCCTCCTGCTACAGTGGCAACGACGGCTTCGTCTTCCTGGGCAGGGGTCACTGCTAAGGCAAGCCCACCGCCTGTTATCACCACCCCGTTGGCCAAAATATCCGTCAATGTTCCAGCTCGCAAGGCTACAGAGCCAAAAGTGGCAACACCGGCGTGGAACCCTGGCGGACGTGGCATGGATCCCCCCATCCCCATCAACGCAACAGCCATGGATAACATTAAGAAACGAACGGGCAAGGACAAGCTGTGCAACAACCATTACCTGCGCGGTCCTTGTGCCAAGGGCGATGAGTGCTGCTTTGAACACAAATACAAGCCCAATGCGGATGAAATCAACGCCATTGCCCATTTGACTCGTCTCAACCCCTGCACCAGCGGTCAGGAGTGTGACGTGGAAAACTGCATTTACGGACATCATGTAAGTCTTCTTCTTTTACCTTTGCAAAACAGTTGTACTAACAAGTCTCGCAGTGTCCCAGCGTGACTGGAACCACCTGCACCCACCCGTATTGCAAGTTCAGAGTTGAGGATCATCCACCTGGCACAAAGTTCAAGAATGCAAAGATTCACGAAAACTGAACGGCTTTGAGAAGCCGACTTTGGAGGGAAAGAGGGACATGAAGACAAAGGGACAGGATTTGCTTATAGCATATGGATTGGCTGTGGCATAGAGTCGTAGCTCATCCGCTAATGGTCCTCCGACGTGCTGGGTTTGCTTTTGAGAATTAGTTTATGTAATATTAGCTTGCTCACTGGCAATTTGAGCTTGCCAAATGAGCTTCATATAGCTATACATGGATAACTGTTCCCGAACATTGTTTATGCTGTGAGGCTGATATGGGGCTTAAGTGAGGATCAACCGTACCTGAACTTTCTGACCATGCAAAACCATTGCCTCACACTCTAGCTATATGGGTCTTCAATATGGGTCTTCAATTGGCTTAATTGTCATCATGTGATGAGGAGACCTGTTGGCGTTATAGTTGCGACTGCTTACTTTCGACCTCCGCACCAGCAGCTTGACCCCCGGTGGCTTATATTTTTTGAAGGTCATGGGAACAGTTCAAATCCCTTCGATGACTCTTTTTCTCTTCTTATTTTGTGAAGATTACTCTGCTCGTTTTATATCTATGAAATGAGGAATATTGTAATGAGGAATATTGAGAGAGGTAAGTAACAACGAATGTTCCTTGATACCTTCGTCTACTCCGTATAAGCTACCCACGAGGTGACGTGATGCCCTGTACCTGTCTGCCGAGCCCCGGCGGGATAGTGGACCCCGCCACTCCAACCCAACCCCACCACGAACCGTGGTCTCGCAACCCCACACCCGCCGGCCAAAATCCCAGAGTGGATTAGCAGAGAGAGCCTCCTCTTCAAGCGACAACTGTATCCTCACCTCACGTCTCCTAGGCCTCCAACCCCACCACCAACAACGACGACGAAAGCTCCCGAATCGATCGATACCTCGAGAGTCACGAGCTCATTAGGGGACCAAACAACAAGCGGCGACCACAGATAATCCTCCAGATAATACCACACCACCCCCAGACAAACCACAACCATGTCGCACCCACGCATAGAGGAGGTCGAAGACAGCGACCTCGAGGCATCAGACCCCTCCGAGGGCGACATTGACGACTTTGCCGACAACGACATCATGCGCCGCGTCGAGCCCAAATCATCAGCACAGCGCGCACCGCAAATCAACCCCTCCAACATTCCCCCCGCCGCCGCCTCCGGCCCAGGCCCTCGCGGCGGCTCCTCCGAGTTCCAAACGACCGTCGACCAGAAGCAATACGCAGACTTCCAGTGCCTCTACCCAATCTACTTTGACGCCCGCCGCACCCGCGCCGAGGGCCGCCGCGTGCCCAAGTCCCTGGCCGTAGAGAACCCCATCGCCCGCGAAATCGTAAACGCCTGCGCCGCCCTCCGCCTGCCCACGCTCTTCGAGCCGGCCAAATTCCACCCAAAGGACTGGGCGAACCCGGGCCGCGTCAAGATCCGCACGCGCTTCAACGGCCAGCTCGGCCCGGACGGCGGCAAAGCCAGCGCCGCGAGCCGCCCCGCGGGTGCGCAGGAGATCAAGAACAAGCACCACCTGTACATCCTCGTCGCCGAGCACCTCAAGCGCAACCCGACGACGGAGGAGAGCGCCGCTCTCAAAGCGCGCGTGCAGGGCGCCCCCGCGCACGATCCCAGCAAGCCGTGGCCTAGGCCTGCCGTCCCGCGCGGGTGGAAGATGGGCGAGCTGTTGCCGTACATCAGTCCTGCCATGACGGGCGGCGGCGTCAGCGAGAATTTGTTCAAGGACATGATGAAGGAGATGCAGGGGGGCGGGGACCCGATGGCGGCGTTGATGCAGCAGGCTCAGGGGGGCGCTTTGGGTGGTGGCGGCGCTGAGGAGGAGAAGGCTGGTAAGAAGAAGAAGGGCAAGGGCAAGGCTTGAAGTGGACTGTCAAAGAGAGAGTGAGAGAGTAAGAGAGAAGAAAGTCATAAAAAGGGAAACCGGGAATGGACTTCATTCAAGGAGTCAGTCCTACGCATCATGAAAAATACACCACGGACAACGGTCAGTGGTCGACAGTTAAGCGACATCACGGAGGGACAAAGAAAGGGTCGTAGAAAAAGGCTGAGGGAACCAACCCAATCAAAGCATGCTAGACTTGAAGAATAAGGTTGGGATTCAGGGGGTATTTAACATCCTACTAGTCCTTCTACCAAACCGCATCGCATCGCTCCCATGATAATCATACTGCCGCCAGTCGGCCCTGTATCCCCTCCCACTCGCGGGATCCCACAATTTGCACATTCCGCCCGCCGCCGGGCACCATCTTGCCGTCTGCGTCCGGCAGGCGGATCTGCAATCTCGCCGCCACGCTCTTCATCATCTGCTTCTTCTCCGCCGCCGCCCCGTCCTTGCGTCCTAGCACGACCTCGGACTTCTTGAGCACCGAGTTGCGCCAGCTGTTCCACGCCGCGAGGTCCTCCCTCTGCTTGGCAGCTTGATACTGCGGCGTGCTGCGCGCGGGCTTCCACGCGAGCTTGTCTTCCGGCAGGGAAGCAAGGTCGTAAACGCGGGCTGACGTTGTGAACTTGACCAGCTCGCTGAGAACATCCTTGCCCTCCGCCACGACGAGGGCGCGGCGCTGCTCCACAATGGACGGCGACTTGGTGAGCGGCTCCGCCAGCCAGTCGTAGTTGTGCTGCTCCGTCATCCTAGCGCGCCTGTTATCCTCGCGAAGGTATCGCACGGCAGCTTGCAGGCTCGCGATCTCGCTCTTGAGAGCATCCATCTCGCGCGCCGTAGCAACCGCCCGCTCCTGGCCAGCCTTGGCGCCCGCTGCACCGGCACCGTCCGCGAAAGCCTTGCTGTCGCCGGCAATCTTCTTCCACTTGTCGCGGTCCGTCTCCAGCATCTTGAGCTCACGGTCTTGCTTGTCAATGTCCTCCTTGAGACTGCCAGCCTTTTGCTTCGCAGCTTCGATTTGCGCCTCGAGATCCTCGATGCGGGAAGCCTTGGCATTAGCATCCTTCATCCTCGACTCGAGGGTCTCAATCTTGAGGTTGGCCGTGCTGAGATTCTCGTCGCGCTGTGCAATCGCCACGCGGGCCTCGTTGTGCTCCTCCTTAAGGCGGCGCATCTCTTCCTCCGCGTCAACGGGAATCGTCTTGATAGCCTTGAGCTCCTGGGCACGAAGCTTCCACGGTGCAGGGCTGACTTCAAACTCTTGCGTCTGAGACAGATCTGCGCTAAGCGCGGCCAGGTCCGAGATCTGGCTAGTAAGAGTACGAAGCCTGGACAGATACGTAGAGAAGAGGTCGGACTCGCTTGACATGGTGACCTTGGTGGTGGCTTTGGAGATACTGTCCTGAACTTCGCGGTAAGTGAAGGGCTCGTTACGGCCTTCCTCATGCAGGAGCGTATGCAAGTCGGAGCCAATCTCGCGAGCCAACGCCGCCAGCTGTTGAGTAGCATCCTGGCACTGCTCAAAGGACTCCTTGGTCTCCTGCGGCAACGCCAGCGAGCGAGATTTGAGATCTTGAAGAGCCCGCACAGCCTTTCCAGCAATAACCTTGGCACTCCGGGTCTGAGCAACCACAAACTCGGATTTCTTGCTAAAGTGCTGCGCCATCTCGTCATCTTCAGACTCGGAGGGCACGACTCTTTGGACCATTCCGCGCAAAGCAGCAAAGGTGGCACCGGCAGACTCAAGATGGCTTTGCATGACGACAGTCTGCATGTACGTGTCCTCGGCAAAGTCGGGCAACTCGTTGGTGAGGTGAACCTCGGCGAGATGGGACATGAGCGCAATGGTACGCTGGAGTTCGTCCGCACACTTCTGCTCCTTGAGATCGTCTCGTCGCAAGCCGTCGATCCATCCGTTCAGCGCCCGCTCCACTGGCTCCAGCTCGAACAGGGCGTTCTGGAACCGCTGGAATTGCTCAATCGAGCAGTGACTGATGGCGTTGGTGAAGCGCTCACACATAGAAGCGACCCATGTAAGTTTGTCAATAGCATCGCAGCCAGCAAAGACGTCGTCCTCGTGGCCAGAGTGAGGTTGGCCGTTGACACGCTCCTTGATAAACGACTGCAGGAGCTCGGCCTTAAAGGCCAGTCTCCTGAACCTCAGCAAAGCAAGCACAGAGTCTTGGTCCTCCTTGTAGGTGTCGGGCAGGAACATCTTGACAATCTCCAAGTGTTGCTCGGCCTCCTGAGCCTCCAGTCGTCGTAGCTCGAGGTCGATCGTCTTGACTTGGGCCTTGGAGGCGGAGATCTGGAGCTTCATGTTCAGGTCCATCATAGCGCGGGACTTGCTGTTAAGCTGCTCGGATTCCGTCTCAGTCACAGCGTGCGACGCCCGCATGTCCTCGAGATCGCTCTGCAAGCTGGTGACTAGTCCTCTGAAGCGGGACAGGGTGTATTCCATGTCCTCCAGGGCCTCTTCCTGCTCGCCCGCCCGTCGCGCCTGCTCCGTGATGACACTGTCCTTGAAGTCGAGGTCCTCTTGCATCTCCTTTTCGTTCTGGACGTGGTTGATCTCCAGCTCGTCGTTGATCTCCTTTAGGTTCTCGAGGTCTTCGATGACGGCCTTGAGTTCTTCGATTTGCTCAGACATGCTCATGTTACGCTCAGTAAGGTCCTCGATCATATCTTCAGCGCCCAAAGCATTGTCGAGTTGTTGCCGAAGATCTTCAACGGCAGCCTCTGATTGGGCCAGCTTTTCTTTCGCCGCATCGAATTGCTCCTTGACGGTGCCAAATTCCTGGAGATCATCCTCCAAAGTCTTGATTTGGTCCTTGAGCTCCTCCTCTTGTTGCTGAGTCAAGTCGCGCAGTCGCAGGAGGGCTTCGCGTAGCCGCTCGTTCGTCCTCTCCATCTGCAGCCAACCAGTGCTGGCTCGGTCCTCCGCAGACATACCCTGGCCGAATTCCGCATTCTCTTCGCGGAGTATTTCCACTTCGAGCTCCAGCTCTTCCGACTTCTGCTTCAGAGCCTCGAGTTCAACCTTAAGAACCTCGGCCGTCTCTTCAGCCATCTCACGGTCCAACGTGGCCAGCTCCAGAGCAGTCTCGTGCTCCATCTGCATCGACTCGATCGATTCGAACCTCTCCTCTGCCTCCTTTAATTGTTTCCGCAACTCGTTGTTCTCGCTCTGCTGAGGCTGGTATTTCGCCTGCAACTTTTCTATAATCGACTGAAATCTGTCCCGCTCGCCTTGGACCTGGTCCAATTGCTTCAACTTCTCTCTGTCTTCCAACCTCTTTCTCTCGAGTACTTTGAGCTTGGCCTTGAGGTCCTCTATTTCTCTGTTTGCAGCGGCGGCATTTGGTGTAGAACGGGCGGTTGTTGCTGGTTTTGTTGAACTTGTAGGCGTGGTAGACGCCGAGCCTGATGTGAGCTTCTCCAAAGCCTTTGTCCTTGCTCTCACGGGGCTTGTCTCGCCATCCTTGTTGGGAGACGTGGCACCTGCGTCTTCGCCGCTGTCGACGTTCTTTCCAGCTCCCATGTCAGCGGAGGGCCTTCTCGCAGAACTAGCCGTCCGTCCAGAGATGGATAGTCGACCACTGTTGGGTCTTCCTGGAGTAGGCCGTGTGGCAGCTGAAGATGTCGAGGGCTGCCTCGTGGTTCTGTTGGCGGGTATTGGCGGAGGTCCCATGGAGCTGCGAGAGGTTCCCACGCTTGGCCGCGTTTTGGCGGCTGTAGCCGGTGTGCGTGTATTGGACGGCGTGGTAGTTCGCGATGGCGCGGTACTCGATGTTGCTGATCCGAGCTGTTTTGTGGGTGACTTGGTCGGTGACTGCATGTCCATTGTGAGTCGTTGCTCTTGATATACATAGGCATTTGTACACTCACCCTTAGTGTACTCGCCGGCCGGGACACCTTAGGTCCCGGACTCGGACTGGGGGCATTCAGACTCATCCTTTTGGTCAAACCAGTATCGCTGGTCGTCCTCCCAGCGCCAGGATTGAAGCTGCTCGGCCGGCTAGGCCTGCGAGCTGCTGGCTTCGCCGCCGGAGCAGGCGCCTGGGCGATGATGGCCAATGTCGTCGGGCGCACAAACATGCCATGCCCAAGGGCACAGTCAAAGTACCGCTCGCCCTGAACGCTGCCATCATTCTTTCCGCTATCATCCTCGAGTTCGATGCCCACCCAATCGCCGCTAGCGAAGTGCGTTCCACCGGCGAAGCGTACGATGCCAGTCCGGCCGTCTGATAGACGCACCGTCTGGCCGACTGCGAGCTCCGACATTGTTCCGCGACTGTGACTCTACTAGGAGATAACCATGTTCGTTATTGCTGTCGGTTGATCGTGGGGCGTAGGCCAGTCGTTGAGGCCCCGTCGTCGTGATGAGTGGTGTGTACTTGGACGATTACGTTGTGTTTGGATGTCACCAAGGGGGGCCATTGGGAGCGCGTCCCAATCGGATAAACGCGCTGAAGCTTGGAGCTTGCTGCTGCTGCTGCGGCGGTTCCGACAAAGCTAACAAGGGGCTTAGTTGGGGTAATGTCAATACAAAGTCAATGTCTGATTGGCTAGTTCTTGCCTTGCATCTCAGGGTCTTCCGCCATGAGCTTAAGCGAGATTTCCTACTGGATAACTTCATATACCGGTACTGTGTACAAGTGACCAGCATCCATTATACCTAAGGCCTTACTAAGAAGACACAGGTAGTAGACGACAACAATGCTCTCTCAAACACATAGCAAACGGGCTTCAAAGAAATACACAGCGACGTTGTCTTATTTCCTTCGACGGAACGCCCATGAAATGCATCATTCAATAAAATGGTCAGTGCGCAGCAGATCGGCTCTCGACGCAACGCAGGGAGGTATCATTTGGCCTATTCGGGGAATTCAGATGTACTCACTTGAAGCAAGCATGCGCTGTCCAATAATCGACTCAATACGTTTGCTCAGTATTTTGGTTTTCCTATCTACGCCTACGCTATGTCAGGAAAAAAATCAATAGTGTGTCTCAATCCGACAAGAAGGAAATCCGTCACCGCACCCCGTTGGAATCATCACATTATTAAGTCTGCTTTTGTAGCCATCTCAACCTCGCCCGATTCCCTCCTGATAGCTGCCTCCTCGAATCCACTCCACCAATTCAAAAGAGATGCGTCGCTCCGTCTTCTCGTCCAATGACTTATTATGCGAAACCCTGACCACCATCACACCGGGGCCTCGGAACTCAACTGCACCTGC